CCTGCGCGCCCGCCAGTCGCTGTGTCCCGGCCCCTCTGCTCCCCCCCGCGCCCATCCCTCACACCCACCCCCACCCACACCCACACCCACACCCACCCACACCCACACCCCACACCCACACCCACCCACACCCACACCCCACATCCTGAACGAATGCAATTCTGTATAAATAACTAGAGGAATTACTTCGATCATTTGATGAAATAAACTGTTGAATTAACTTGTTTCTGTGTTCTATTTTCTCCTAAATCTCATTACTTTTGGCATGCTCTGTGACTTTCTTTATGACTTTAAAATATTTTCTCTACTCTTAGAAATTCTCCTATTAAGATGCTCATCAAAATCAAATAATGAAAAACAACTATACCGAATCAATTTTACCGTTGGTTTCCTCCAACTTGGTCGAGTATCGTGTAACTCACACGAGTGCGTCGTTTGTCAAATAATTCTTTTCTTATCTTTGCATCGTGGCAATAGTTCGATCTCGTTTAGCCTTTGTTTTTATTTTGTTTTTCTTTTTGAATACTTTTTATCTACGCACTCCTGTTGAGAGGACTGCACCTGGTGACAGTAAAATGCAATAAAATATTCAAGATAAAGAGCACAAGAAGATTAATTGTCAACAAGAAAAAAAACCATGTTTGCACAAAGAATTTCAGTTCATAGGAAGTATATGCGTCTATATATATTTCTATACAATATGCAGTAGTTGACATCGTTCAATAACGAACAATAAGTAATAAAGATGAATATTAATAAGAACCTATAAGAAAATCTATTTATGGACAACTAGTAGATTACGATAATTTTAAAAATGGCTTCACATTTTATTGCATTCCGAGATAGATGAGACTTACATGATTATAAATATTAGACAACCTTTTTACAAGTTGATAAGAAAAAGTGATAATTTTAAATACAATTGCTAGTTTTCAAATTCAATTCGTATTTTAGAAGATCTGACATATTCATTTTTTTTCTTCAATGAAAAAAAGAAAATATATAAAAAACTGTTTCATTAGAGTTTATTTGAACTTGAACTGTGAAACATTCTTAATATTATGAGAAGAGCACGTCCAAAAAATACTTGATTCATTTGCAACGTGATCTTTGGAAGAACAACCAATCTTTCAAGGTATTTCAAATTGAATATAAAGCTTGAAATTAAGAGTATGCTACACTGAACTTTGGTGGTTGTAATGAAAATTTTATTAAGGGTATAGTTATGGGTATAGATGTTAGTCTTCTCATCGCTCACATGCTCTTTCTACTAATGTATACCTTCTTCTACATGAATTTAATTATAGTTTTCATTTCAATATCATACTCACTTTGATGCCTCATTGTCAAAGTTTTTCATTTCTATCATCTTTTTCCGTATTATTTATCTTGAAAATTCCAATGAGGATGTACACTTTCAAGCCATTATTTGTATCTCGTTGTGATGATGGAAAATATTAGTTTTATGTCAATGACGAACTTCACTATCGATTTTCATCATAAAGTTAAGCATGACTGCTAATGTTTTTCTTTATTAGCAATATTCATCCATGACTAAAACAACAAGTCTTCGATCAACAGTGCATATTTGTAAGACATTGAAAGAAGGATAAAACCTCTAGCTTACTTTACATTATTGGAATTCCAAATTGCAGTTCAATATAATATTGCTATCTGCTTTTTATAACAAAATAATATTATCAATCGTATTTCAGTTTTACATCTGTGTCGCTTAAGATGTGAACAAAATAACAATTACAAATTTAATAGAAAATTATTTTTATTACAAAACGACGTATTCTAGTAGAAAAAACTTCAATATCCGAAATGAGAGATTAAAAACTAAGTGCGAAATGTGCTTGAAAATCGGACACTAATTCACCACATACCTATACTCTTAAACTCAGTTCATCTTCTCTCACATTGAAGTTAAAAAGTTCGAAGATCCTCCATACTTTAAAAACTAACGATCTATGTATCGTTACGATAGAAAAAAAAAGAGATTTATCTTTATGTATCTCTGCTGTAAAGACTGAGGTGTGAGTGTGCCTATATCTATTCACAATACTCACAGTCACAGCCACAGCCATGCTCTCGTTCAATTTATTGAAGATCATGCATCATCAGTAATGATTTGTGTTTAAGATGGTTGGGATACAACTGCTCAACTCGTTTCAATACGTGAATTATTACTTGATCCATATTATTGAACATTTGAAGGATTTCAAACATTAATTGAACGTGAATGATTTGCATGTGAACATAGTTTTTCACATCGATCAAATCAAACAGCAACAAATAAAAGTGGTTTTACACCAGTTTTTCTTCAATTTCTTGATCTTGTGGATCAAGATATTAATCATAAGATGTCAAATAATTCAAATAAAATCTTTTTAAGATGTGAAATCAATATGCAAGTGAATTTGAATTGAAACAATATTATCTTCGTTTTCTTGCTTATCATCATTTATCAAGTCGTTTTAAAAATATTATACTTGATTGTGATTGTGATTGTGAACGTAAAAAAGATCGTAATTGGTATGTTGATACAACTCATGATTCATTAACGAGTGATACTAATGGTAAATTTATTTCATTTATTATTTCATAGAAGAAAAACAACTTGTTTTCTTTTAAGATTTATGTCGTTGTAATATAATAAATATTTGACATTATATAACAAAACTTAATCGAGAATCAGCTGGATTTTATAATTCTCTTTATTCATCATCAAATGATATTTGTGTTCTTCGTCCATTATATAAAAAATTTGCACTTGATATATGGGATTTTTATTTAAGTGATTGTCCATATAATCTTGATATAGCTCTAGCTGTACATGAAGAACATTTAAATGGTGCAGAATTAAAACAACGTACAAAATGTATATCAGCAATTTATGATGATATTAGTATTTCTTTACCAGATTTTTTTAATGATATCGTTTCTTTAAGAGAAATTTGTTATTTAATGACTAAGTGTTTGAAATATATTTTCTTTTTCGTTCTAGGAAATGTCTAATATATTACAATATATAAATACAGAATCATGGAAAATTTATTAGGATTTAAATTGAAAAACCCGAACAAGAAAAAGTTCAGGTATATGTGTCACAGAAATGATTTATTTTAGGCTTTGGAATCGCAATTTTTTTCTAGTGTCATGCAGAGTTTGGGATGATTTAACATGAATGCAAACATTTGTGTTTTTCTTTTTTGTCTTAATAGTTTTTGAAAACAAACAATATGTCTTAAAATCAGTTGTTTTTTAAATTCGACAGAAAAAGATACTTAAAAAAAGTAAAATGATGACCTGTTTTTCGTTGATATACCTTTTCAATTTTATAAAGTTTTTTTTTTATAACTGCAGTTATCATGTTTCAACATCAAAACAAAAAAGGGCACGAATTATATGCTATGGAAAAACATGATACAAAGAATTTTACATATATACAGTAGTGGACAAAAATCTTCGTCTCAGTCGCTGTCGACCACTATATATGCTGGAGATCGGGAAATTTGTGGACACATAGTTCACTAAGAATGTAAATTATTGGCATTGTGGCACTATTGGGTGTGGGTGTGCTATGTTTATTTGATTGAAGTTCATCAATCCTTTTAAAGATTATATTCATTATTGTAAAGAGAAACCATCTACAGCTTTTTGAATGTCAATAACTGACGAGAGTACGTTCTCAAGTATCATGCCGTTTTTAAGCTGTAACTATGTTCAACCGATAGGACTTAATGAGTAGATAAATACTCTGGAATGTTTTCGCACTGCTAGGTCTTTGTTGCTGAGATGTCAAATTTTTAGTGAATTTTGGCTTGAAACTTGGAAATATTTGATAAAAATTCGATAACCCAGCATAAAAAAGTCCTACAATACGAACCACTCCAGAATATTTACCTACTTGCTAAGTCTCATCGATTGAATATAGCCACACCTTAAAGGCGATGTAACACTTAGGAACGTTCCCTCCTGACTCATAGTGCACATCAATATTCGAGCAAATAAACTGAACTTTTTTTTTTGAAGAAAGACCGTAGATGGGACTTCAGCTAGATGTTAAAATGTAGAGAATCAGGTATATTTTTTAATAGAAAAAAGCGCAAAATTTTGTTTTACAAGTAATCTTTATAATCTTACCCTACTTACTAACATATAGATATTTGAATTCTATTAGAAGAACCTTTAATATAACTTAAAAAATTAATTTTATAGCGTCTATCAATGCAAAATGAAGCATATAAACCAATGAATTTTCATCAAAATTATCTTTAGCCTCAACGATCATTATCATCATCACTTATATCATCAATGTATGGTTCTCATGTATATGAATTCAAATAATTTACAACATCACAAATTTGTGATGCTTGTGATGAATTACTTAATTCAGCAAAATCACCAAATGGTACGTAATCGTATTATCTTTTATTCTAAAAAAACAATAAGATAAATTTCCTATGAATAGAGGGAATACGAGTACTTCAACGTCGTGATTGTTCGAACGTTTGCCGTCAAAAATGTCGACGAATTGGTATTAGTGAATCATCGGATTCTCAAATTGTTGTTGATTCAACTCGATTGTAAGAGAGGGTCCGCGAGACCACCAAACAAGTTGGCCGCCGACAAAATTTTGATTTTCGATTTAGATATTTAAAAAGAGAGTCCATCATGTGAATACTTCAAATCCAAAATATTACCTTTTTCTGACTTTTCTGCGAAAAATCCCAAAGCATACAAGTGGTACACTCCTCACACATGTTGGAGAGCCAGAACCATTTCTATCAATTCGGATCCCTGATCAGGAAGATACATATTTTATGTCCATCGAAATCAGAAATATAACTTCAGATTTGTAATCAGTATAAAAAAACTGTGTATAAAAATGTTGTTTCATTGAATGCAAAGTTAATCAAGTAAAAATTATCCCATGAAATATAATTAACTGGCGTATATCTCCAAGTATATATTTTTATCGATATATTTATAAGCCTATCTAATCTCTCATGAGAAACTGTAGAACCGAATTCGATGTCGCATTCAGAATCACTGGACTTTCACCTTCAACATTACCTAGGCAGCCTTTTTAGATTGCTTTTTGTTTTTGAGAAAATTCGATTCTAATGGACGCTAATCGGAAAAATGTGTAAAACTGAAAAAATTGTGTCCATATTTGGTCGCTTTTATTATCATAACTTACTCTGATACAGAAATGAATAGCATATTCAGAATCAGCATGAAAACCTACGTAGAATAAAATATAATTTGACTCAGTTTTTTGCGCTGATTCTGAATATACTACTTGTTTTTCTGTCAGATTATAGTACGATGATAAAAGCTTCCAAACATAGACACAAATTTTCGAGTTTTTGCACAGATTTCAGTCCAACATCGAGAAAAATCCGTTTTCCTAAAAAGCAAAACAAAATCTAACAAAGTCATATAGGTAATTGCGAAGGTAAGAGTTCAATGATTCTAAATGTGAAATAAAACTCAGTTCCACAGTTTCTCATGAGAGACTAGATAGGCTTATAAATATATCGATAAATATATACTTGGAGATATACACCGGTTGATTGGGTGTGTGTGGGGTGTGGGTGTGGGTGTGGGTGTGGGTGTGGGTGTGGGTGTGGGTGTGGGTGTGGGTGTGGGTGTGACTGTGGGTGTGGGTGTGAGTGTGGGTGTGTGCGTTGATGTGTCGCGTGTGTGTGCGAGTGTGGGTGTGAATGATGGAAATACCCACACACACCCACACCCACCCACACCCTCAGTCGTTAGTTTAGACAAATTGTTTTGCTCGATTCATGACAAATCAACCACTTAGCATTGAAGGTATCATTCCAATGAATAGACCAGTGACGTCTTCTGCATACCAAATATTTTCGTCGGGTATTTTCAAATGTTGGTTCACTAGTGGATTGTTTTCAACAGCTTGTAGTGTTGGACCTTTGAGTATCAACATTCGTCGATCTAAATTTATATCTCTACTGAAGTTTGCAAGAAAGGATTCAATGCCTGCCGCAATATGTGTACCGACATCACAATATATGTCATGCAGTTTGTCCAATCCAGCAAACGGTAGCTCGAATGGACGTGTATCCTTAACTTTTTCTAAAAATTTCTGAATGTCGTCACTCTTGAAGCCCGCATTGACGCCGAAATTACTTTCCGCTGTTGGCAAACATTCAGAACAACTGCAACAGACAGCTGTCCTATCTTGTTCAGCCCATGAACATTCTCAGTTATGACACCAGAAAAATGTTCGATATTCCAGACTGGCATTGGCTGTTGGGATAACCTTCGAATTTGCTTATGTTG